TGATCTGTAATCTGGAATGACCTCTGTGTGACCTGTAATCTGGGGTGACCTCTGTGTAAACCGCCTCATGGAGCACAGCCAGTCATGGATGGCCCCGGGCCTTCTGGTCGGGCTGACAGCATTTATCCACTGCATTCCAGCCTCAGAGATGTGAAAATAAGAGTCTGCCTCGGCTCAGTGAAATACGGCTGTTTCTGGGGCGGAGGTGGAGCCGAGACCCGATTTTAGGAGGTGGGGTGGTGGCAGGGCTGACTTTCATCCCTTCGATCCACCTCCTGACCCCAGCCTGATGGTGGGAGTAGGGGAGACGGCTGGGAGGGGACTACCAGGGAGAGGGTCGCTCCATCCTTGAGAATAGGGGGCTCTGTTAGGGATTCTTTTAGGAACCCCTCTTGGAGGTATTTTGAAAACCCTGCACTGCACCAGGCTCTCCCTGAGCCCCAGAGTCAGAGAGGAATCGTATATACACAAGCACACAGACATGGCCCCGGGCGGTGGGTTAGGGTCTCAGGCCTGACTCTCCCTTAGGACCACCCCCATCTGGCCCATTCCCCGGTCCACCTTGGAGTACCAAGCGTCCGACCGCCTGCGGGAACTTGCCACCCCGAAGGTCCGGAGTAACATCTGGAGTATACACATGTCTGAGGTGGGTGCCCTTCTCCCCCTGGAGCTCCCCAGCTCCCCGCCGGGGGCTCAGCGGCTCCGGAAGGACAAGAGGCAACAGACGTGTGACTGCTTCCCTGAACCATCGGGAGCCACTGGGCTTTGTTCAAGAAAAGGCGTTACTTTCCTGCCCCGGGCCTTGAAGGCAGTGCAGGGACCGCCCTCCGCTGCCTGTCAGCTCGGAGGGGAGCCGGAGCAGGGTGGCAGGACAACGGCGGTTCAGAGGTGACAGCGGAGTTCTCCTCCAGTTGAGGCTCCCCCCCCCCCCCCCGCCCCGGCTCAGGCCCGACTCCGCCCTGGCGGCCCGCAGCCTCCCTCCGGCACCTGCGCGCCGCCCCGCCCTGGGCCAGCAGCACGGAGTCCCGCTCCCCTGGGAGGGGCCGCCGTGGGGGCGTCTCGCACCCACCGAAGGACACGTGCTTGCTTCTGGGTTTTGGTTCCCGCACACACGGCTGCTGTGAGAATCTGGGTCTCTGTGGGATACGTTGCCGTATCTCCAGGGTCAACACCCAGAAGCGGGGTCCTGGCCAGGAGGCCTGTCCGACTTTATCAGAGACTGACCACCTGCTCCCACAGTGGCCGCCCCGTCTGGCACCGTGTGTCCATTTGCTGGTTTGTCCGTTTATTCCTTTACGGCCGGCCGCCCCATCAGGTGTGCGGTGGGACGGCCTTGTGGTTTAATGTGCGTTGGATCCGTGTCTTTTCATGTGGTTGTTTGACAGAACCCCAACTTGGACACTTTTACAACTAAATGCAGACAACACACTGCTTCTCCCAGAAACTCTTCATGTGGATTTCTAACAGGCGAGGGTAGTTTAAAACCCCTAACAATAAAGATCCCACTGAAAGAATGTAACAATAATACCTTAGTGTCCAAATACCCAGTCCATGTTCTGTTTCCCCAGTTGTCTCAAAAAAAGGCTTCAGGGCTTCCCTGGTGGCGCAGTGGTTGGGAGTCCGCCTGCCGTTGCAGGGGACACGGGTTCGTGCCCCGGTCTGGGAAGATCCCACATGCCGCGGAGCGGCTGGGCCCGTGAGCCATGGCCGCTGAGCCTGTGCGTCCGGAGCCTGTGCTCCACAACGGGAGAGGCCACAACAGTGAGAAGCCCGCGTACCGCAAAAAAAAAAAAAAAAAAGCTTCAGCAGTCAGTTTGGTTGGATCGGCATCCGGGGGAGGGTCTGGCCCCACCTCTTACCTGGAGACGTACCTGCTGTTTTCCCGTGCCTTGCCTTTGCCAGTTTAGCCTTCGAGTCCTTCTGTGCTCCAACACCCTCTGTGGCTCCCCAGTGCCCCGTGAAAACCAGCAGGATGGGGCCTTCTCCATCCCTACTACCCCATGTGCCCCCTGTTGGACTAAATGCAGGTCCCTCAACAAGCCCCTGGGCTTTGGCATGTGCAGCTGGGCATGTTCCTGCCCAGGCTGGTGGGGCCCCCATCCGACACCCCTTCTTGCTCCTTCCCAGCCCCTTTCACATGTGCTCTGGATGGGCTGTCATCCTTCCCTTAAACGTGAGCTCCCTGAGGACATGTGTCCGTGTCTGCTGTGGCCTTACTGCAGAGCTGGCCTTGCCCCGAGCAGGGCACGAAGCAGTCGTCGATATTCTTCGAATGCATGGATAAGTGACTGTTTCCCTGCCTTTCACCCCTGCAGACGGGGGGCCCCTTGAGGGCAGGACCGCAGGCTGACTCAACTGCCTCATCTGGTGACCTGAGCTGTGGGGGCCGTCCGGGTGGGCAGAGAAGGAGGGGAAGAAAGGAGAGGGGACAGAGGGGGTGGTTGAGAGGGGCGTGAAATTGTAAGCGCCAGGACGTCTTTGACAAGAGTAGTGTCTGTGATTTCTCAGCAGTTCACTTTCAGGAGGAAAGGGACTCATCTTTCAGTCTCCCTAGAGAACATTACAGCCAATCCTCTGCCTCTGGGCAGTCTCCTACCCAAAGTGCACCCAACAGAGAGCTTTTGTAAAACATTAAATGTTACACACACACCAAGTGCTTGTACAATTCACCCTCCTACCAACCACGTATCGGGATCTCTCTCCTCCCACCTTCCTGCCAGGGCTTGATAACGCCAGACTTTTTCACTTTTGCCAAATTTGTTGGCATGGAGTGATAGTTGGCTGTTTTAATTTACATTTCCCTGGCACACAGAGAGGATTATTGATCCTTTGGGTTTACTTTCCTGCACGATTAACTCAGTTTCCTATTGATTTTTCATGTTATTGATTTAGAGAAGCTCTTTATTTATGATGGCTACTACTAATCCTTTGCTGAACACACTGCAAACTAACTTCTTCCCAGTCAGCCTTTTGTCTTTCAGTGTTGCCTTCAGGGTCTTTCTGAACCAGGGGCCATGAGGAATCATGGGCTGCTTTACTTCTTCCCCTCTAATTCTGTTTCTAGGTGTCCCAAGTGTCCAGGGCAGCCCGGATGGCCACCCCCAGTCTGAGGATCATCCAGCTGGCAAAGCCCAGGGCTCCAGCCGCCCTGCGGGAAGAGTGGGACCCCATGCCAAAACCCAAGCCACACGTGTCAGACTATAACCGTCTCCTTCACCTGGCCAGTAAGCAGGTCCCCGGGGATTCGGCATCTTATGAAGCAGCCTTCCCCACTGGACGCGGGCGGGGGCAGCCAGTCAACTTGGACCTGCTTCTGCCAGATTTGTACTTCCCTAGCTCCACCTGCACTGCAGACCAGCTGTCCAGATCCCTGTGGGCAGTTCATCTGTGGCCTGCATGGCCTCCCTGGGGGCTGGCAGAGGGAATCGCTCCCTCTGGGTGGGGGGGGTGGTTTGTGGGCCTCCCAGCACAGCAAGTGGGTGCAGAAGGGAAACTTGGGGTGCAGGGCCAGGGCCAAAAGAACCAAGCTGGGGCACAAGGGCTCTTTACATGGTGTTGGCCTGACTCTCTTCCTGTCCTTTATTTTATTTATTTTTTTATACAGCAGGTTCTTATTAGTCATCCATTTTATACACATCAGTGTATACATGTCAATCCCGATCGTCCAATTCAGCACACACACCCCCCCCGCGGCTTTCCCCTTTGGTGTCCGTACGTTTGTTCTCTACATCTGTGTCTCAACTCCTGCCCTGCAAAACGGTTCATCTGTACCATTTTTCTAGGTTCCACATACCTGCATTAATATACGATATTTGTTTTTCTCTTTCTGACCTACTTCACTCTGTATGACAGTCTCTAGATCCATCCATGTCTCAACAAATGACCCAATTTCATTCCTTTTTATGGCTGAGTAATATTCCATTGTATATATGTACCACAACTTCTTTATCCATTAGTCTGTCGATGGGCATTTAGGTTGCTTCCATGACCTGGCTATTGGAAATAGTGCTGCAGTGAACATTGGGTTGCGTGCGTCTTTTTTTTTTTTTTTTTTTTTGCGGTACGCGGGCCTCTCACCGTTGTGGCCTCTCCCGTTGTGGAGCACAGGCTCCGGACACGCAGGCTTAGCGGCCATGGCTCACGGGCCCAGCCGCTCCGCGGCATGTGGGATCTTCCCGAACCGGAGTATGAACCCGCGTCCCCTGCATCGGCAGGCGGACTCTCAACCACTGCGACACCAGGGAAGCCCGCGTGCGTCTTTTTTTTGTGTGTGTGTGGTACGCGGGCCTCTCACTGTTGTGGCCTCTCCCGTTGCGGAGCACAGGCTCCAGACACACAGGCTCAGCGGCCATGGCTCACAGGCCCAGCCGCTCCGTGGCATGTAGGATCTTCCCAGACCAGGGCTCGAACCCGTGTCCCCTGCATTGGCAGGCAGATTCTCAACCACTGTGCCACCAGGGAAGTGCCCTGTTGGTATCATCTTTAATTTCTTTCATCAGTGTCTTATAGTTTTCTGCATACAGGTCTTTTGTCTCCCTAGGTAGGTTTATTCCTAGGTATTTTATTCTTTTTGTTGCAGTGGTAAATGGGAGTGTTTCCTTAATTTCTCTTTCAGAGTTTTCATCATTAGTGTATAGGAATGCAAGAGATTTCTGTGCATTAATTTTGTATCCTGTAACTTTACCAAATTCATTGATTAGCTCTAGCAGTTTTCTGGTAGCATCCTTAGGATTCTCTATGTATAGTGTCATGTCATCTGCAAACAGGGACAGTTTTACTTCTTTTCCAATTTGTATTCCTTTTATTTCTTTTTCTTCTCTGACTGCCTTGGCTAGGACTTCCAAAACTATGTTGAATAATAGTGGTGAGAGTGGACATCTTTGTCTTGTTCCTGATCTTAGAGGAAATGCTTTCAGTTTTTCACCATTGAGAACGATGTTGGCTGTGGGTTTGTCATATATGGCCTTTATTATGTTGAGGTAGGTTCCCTCTATGCCCACTTTCTGGAGAGTTTTTATCATAAATGGGTGTTGAATTTTGTCAACAGCTTTTTCTCTATCTATTGAGATGATCATATGGTTTTTCTTCTTCAATTTGTTAATGTGGTGTGTCACAGTGATTGATTTGCATATATTGAAGAATCCTTGCACCCCTGGGATAAATGCCACTTGATCATGGTGTATGGTCCTTTTAAAGTGTTGTCGGATTCTGTTTGCTCGTATTTTGTTGAGGATTTTTGCATCTATATTCATCAGTGATATTGGTCTGTAATTTTCTTTTTTTGTAGTATCTTTGGTTTTGATATCAGGGTGATGGTGGCCTCATAGAATGAGTTTGGGAGTGTTCCTTCCTCTGCAATTTTTTGGAAGAGTTTGAGAAGGATGGGTGTTAGCTCTTCCCTAAATGTTTGATGGAATTCACCTGTGAAGCCATCTGGTCCTGGGCTTTTGTTTGTTGGCAGATTTTTAATCACAGTTTCAATTTCATTCCTTGTGATTGGTCAGTTCATATTTTCTATTTTTTCCTGGTTCAGTCTTGGAAGGTTATACCTTTCTAAGAATTTGTCCATTTCTTCCAGGTTGTCCATTTTATAGGCATAGCGTTGCTTGTAGTAGTCTCTTAGGATGCTTTGTATTTCTGCAGTGTCCGTTGTAACTTCTTTTTCATTTCTAATTCTATTGATTTGAGTCCTCTCCCTCTTTTTCTTGTTGAGTCTGGCTAGTGGTTTATCAATATTGTTTATCTTCTCAAAGAACCAGCTTTTAGTTTTATTGATCTTTGCTATTGTTTTCTTTGTTTCTATTTCATTTATTTCTGCTCTGATCTTTATGACTTCTTTCCTAACTTTGGGTTTTGTTTGTTCTTCTTTCTCCAGTTCCTTTAGGTGTAAGGTTAGATTGTTTATTTGAGATTTTTCTTGTTTCTTGAGGTAGGCTTCTATAACTATAAACTTCCCTCTTAGAACTGCTTTTGCTGCATCCCATAGGTTTTGGGCCGTCGTGTTCTCATTGTCATTTGTCTCTAGGTATGTTTTGATTTCCTCTTTGATTTCTTCAGTGATCTCTTGGTTATTTAGTAACGTATTGTTTAGCTTCCATGTGTTTGTGTTTTTAACGTTTTTTTCCCCTGTAATTGATTTCTAATGTCATAGCGTTGTGGTCAGAAAAGATGCTTGATATGATTTCAATTTTCTTAAATTTACTGAGGCTTGATTTGTGACCCAAGATGTGATCTATCCTGGAGAATGTTCCATGCGCACTTGAGAAGAAAGTGTAATCTGCTGTTTTTGGATGGAATGTCCTATAAATATCAATTAAATCTATCTGGTCTATTGTGTCATTTAAAGCTTCTGTTTCCTTATTTATTTTCATTTTGGATGATCTGTCCATTGGTGTAAGTGAGGTGTTAAAGTCCCCCACTATTAGTGTGTTACTGTCGATTTCCTCTTTTAGAGCTGTTAGCAGTTGCCTTATGTATTGAGATGCTCCTATGTTGGGTGCATATATAGTTATAATTGTTATATCTTCTTGGATTGATCCCTTGATCATTATGTAGTGTCCTTCCTTGTCTCTTGTAACATTCTTTATTTTAAAGTCTATTTTATCTGATATGAGTATTACTACTCCAGCTTTCTTTTGATTTCCATTTGCATGGAGTATCTTTTTCCATCCCCTTGCTTTCAGTCTGTATGTGTCCCTAGGTCTGAAGTGGGTCTCTTGTAGACAGCATATGTATGGGTTATGTTTTTGTATCTATTCAGCAAGCCTGTATCTTTTGGTTGGAGCATTTAATCCATTCACGTTTAAGGTAATTATCGATATGTATGTTCCTATGACCATTTTCTTAATTGTTTTGGGTTTGTTTTTGGAGGTCCTTTGCTTCTCTTGTGTTTCCCACTTAGAGAATTTCCTTTAGCATTTCTTGTAGAGCTGGTTTGGTGGTGCTGAATTCTCTTAGCTTTTGCTTGTCTGTAAAGCTTTTGATTTCTCCATCGAATCTGAATGAGATCCTTGCCAGGTAGAGTAATCTTGGTTGTAGGTTCTTCCCTTTCATCACTTTAAGTATATCATGCCACTCCCTCTGTCTTGTAGAGTTTCTGCTGAGAAATGAGCTGTTAACCTTATGGGGATTCCCTTGTATGTTGTCATTTTTCCCTTGCTGCTTTCAATAATTTTTCTTTGTCTTTAATTTTTGCCAGCTTGATTCCTGTGTGTCTCGGCATGTTTCTCCTTGGATTTTTCCTGTATGGGACTCGCTGTGCTTCCTGGACTTGGGTGGCTATTTCCTTTCGCATGTTAGGGAAGTTTTCGACTATAATCTCTTCAAATATTTTCTCGGGTCCTTTCTCTCTCTCTTCTCCTTCTGGGACCCCTATAATGCGAATGTTGTTGCGTTTAATGTTGTCCCAGCGTTCTCTTAGGCTGTCTTCATTTCTCTTCATTCATTTTTCTTTATTCTGTTCCACAGCAGTGAATTCCACCATTCTGTCTTCCAGGTCACTTATCCGTTCTTCTGCCTCAGTTATTCTGCTATTGATTCCTTCTAGTGTAGTTTTCATTTCAGTTATTGTATTGTTCATCTCTGTTTGTTTGTTCTTTAGTTCTTCCAGGTCTTTGTTAAACATTTCTTGCGTCTTCTCAATCTTTGCCTCCATTCTTTTTCTGAGGTCCTGGATCATCTTCACTATCATTATTCTGAATTCTTTTTCTGGAAGGTTGTCTATCTCTACTCCATTTAGTTGTTTTTCTGGGGTTTTATCTTGTTCCTTCATCTGGTACATAGCCCTCTGCCTTTTCATCTTGTCTGTCTTTCTGTGAATGTGGTTTTTGTTCCACAGGCTGCAGGATTGTAGTTCTTCTTGCTTCTGCTGTCTGCCCTCTGGTCCGGCCCGCAGTCCCCAGGACTGTCGCGGCTTCAGCTGCTGGGGGCCCTCCAGAGCCGGCAACCTCAGTGAGGCCGCCCTCCCCTCGGGCTCCAGGGCAGTTCAGTGACGGTGGAGGGAAGAGACCCCGAGCCAGGAGTTCCAGCTCTGTGGAAATGCGGGCTGCATTCTGGGCCTCTTCCTGTCCTTTAAAACAAAGGACATACCTGGTTCCCCCACAACAAAAGTAAAATGCACTAATTGTAGAGAGTTTGAAAAATGCAGAAGAGCATGAAGAAAGGAATCTTGCCACCCAAAGGTAGTCAGAGGCTTAGGAAAATTCGCTGTGTATCCCCGGCTCCTGGCACGTGGTCACCAGAGAGCTTGATTGGCTGTTTTGGTATAATCTGCTGTGTCCTATTTTCTCCGTTTCCTGTTTCCTTTTTTTTTTTGCGGGGGAGGTGGTTATTGATTTGCAGCAGCTCTTTATATAAGATGATCACTCACCCTATGTCGAGCACGTTGCAAAATAACTTCTTCCCAGTCTTTTTTCTTTCGAGCTTGCTTGTGGGATCTTTTGTTTGTTTGTTTATTCATTCATTCGTCTGTTCCCTTAATATTTGTTAAAGTATTTGTTGAATTTGTTATGACTGGTTAAATGAACAGAAACACAAATACACACGCACTTCTCTCTCAAACCATCTTGTCTCACACACATATGCATGAACACACACGTCTGGAATATAATAAGCCCATGTACATTTGTACCTACACCCGCGTGTATATTCATCCAGGCTTCAGGAGCACATATCAATGCACATCCGTGTGTGTATGGATAAAACTGGTGTAGGGCTGTGTTTTTCAAACCGCAGACTTCCACCCACTGATGGTTGTGACCAGCATTTAAGAAGTGAAGTGAGGATACATGCAGTGCAGGGGCCACGTGGGGTGGGCACTGGTCCATGCCATTTTGCATTTGTGGGTACTGTGTGGCCGTGGACCAGTCACACTCTCAGGCTGTGACCAGAAGATTTTCGGAGCCCAGATGTTACAACAAAGGGAAAGCCCCTGAGTCTCCCTGAGGACTCCCAGAAAGGTGGGCTCTGGGCAGGTCCTCCCGAGGTCCCCCAGCCCCTCCCTTTTGGGGGCCCCCGCACATGTCACCTGCCCAGGAGTTGTAGTCCAGCCTGAGGCTGGTGGAAGGGCCCCCGTTCTTTGCACCGAGGGCCTCTCCCCCGAGCTGTGGGTTGTCTGCTGACTAGGGGGAGGGCCCTTTTGCGATTGCAGGGTGTTGGAGCAAAGAGGAGTTTGGAAAGGCAGCCCTCAAAACCGAGGGGCCCAAAGTTAAGGCAGTGGTCACCGGTGGCCACCAGCGGTCACCTCTCTCCTGGTCCCCATGCAGGCCATGCCCCGTGGCTCCCACCGTGGAGGAAGGGGTGGCGGAGAGGTGGCGAAGGGGGCTGAGCAGGAGAAGGGCCGGGGGTCCCGGCAGGTGAACGGAGGGGGCTGGCCGAGCCACAGGTCTGCTCTGAGAGCTGTCTGTCCACGACTAAAGTGGAATGAAAGCCAATCCGTCCATTGATTTAAGTCAATGAACAGATTTTATTAAAATTAAACAACGATAAAAGTCCAGCCCATATCGGGTACTGATCCCATGTGGCTGGTGGGGCCCTGTGGAGAGGGCCCAGCTGGGGCTGCCTGAGCCCCTTCCTCACCCCCAGCCCCCAGGGTACCTTTTTCTGCTCCCTCTGAGTCCCCCATCTGGGACCCATGGCCATTTGAAATATTTTGTCTTTACAGTTCGCCCTTTCACAGTGCACAATTCAATATTTTCCAGTATGTTCACAGAGCTGTGCACCCACCACCACAATCAATTTTATTTTATATTATTTATGTCATTTAAAAAATCGTATATATTTTTTTAAATTTATTTTTTATTCAAGTATAGCTGATTTACAGTGTTGTTAATTTCTGCTGTACACCAAATGACTCAGTTATACACATATATATATTCGTTTTCATATTCTTTTCCATTATGGTTTATCACAGGATATTGAATATAGTTCCCTGTGCTCTATAGTAAGACCTTGTTGTTTATCCATCCTATATATAATAGTTTGCATCTGCTAATCCCAAACTTCCAATCCATCCCTCCCCCTCTCCACCTCCCCCTTGGCAACGACAAGTCTGTTCTCTTATGTCCCACACAGTCGATTTTAGAACACTCCATCTCCCCAAAAGTGAAGCCCCGTCCCCATGAGCAGTCACCCCCATCCCCTCCCCAAGCCCCTGACAACCAGGAACCCACTCTCTGTCTGTGGACTGGCCTGTTCTGGACGTTTCCCATCAATGGAATCACACACCGTGTGTCCTTCTGTGTCTGGTTTCTCCCACTGCATCGTATCCTCAAGGTCCATCCATGTGGTAGCGAGTGTCAGGGCTTCAACCCTTTTCATGGCTGAGTGATGCTCCCATGTGTGGAGGGACATGTTTGTTTATCCATCATCTGTTGACAGACAGGCCATTAAACTTGGGAGCTCTGACCCAGAAGGCTGATCTCTGCGGGGCGAGGCGGGGGTGGTGGTGGCTGCATGCCCCAGGCTCCGGCTTCTGACACCACCCCCTTCTCCCGCCCTCTCCAGTGCCCAAGCCCCAGTCGGACAAGTGTGTTTCTGACCGAGACGCACGCTGGGAGGTGCTGGAGGCCACCAAGAAGGCGGTGGCCAGTCCCCGCATCGTCTCCCTGGCCAAACCCAAAGTGCGGAGGGACCTGAGCGAGGACTACGACCCCTACCTCATCTCTCCAGCCTCCCTGGTGGCTCGTGCGTCCCCTCGCCTGCAAGAGCTTGCCACCCCCAAGAGCATCACCAAAAAAGCATGAGCAGCCCAGGTCTGGCCCCTCAGCCCGTTCCCAGTAAACACCCAAGTGCAGCTTGACCCTGTGTGTGGCTCTGATCACTTTGGCCTGGAGCCGGGAGGGCAGCGGGGGCCCGGAGGAGACAGTAATAATAATGTTTATGTTTGCATCTAACCTGCAATCCTGCAGCCCTTTTTCCCCAGTCACGTTCCCCTGGCGTCGCCAGCCCCTCGAGTGGCAGACTCCACGCTCTCCCACGTCAGAATTTTCCCTCTGAACCACTTCTGTCCCAACTTGCTTATCCAGCCGCATCCTGGGCGTCCACAGCCCCTCAAACTCAGTGACCTCCGTAAGAAACCAGCTGATGCCTGCTGCGTGATGATGATCTTTGCAGTGACCCGACGGGGGGACTGTCAGTGTCACCCCTGTGCTGAGGTGGAGGCTGAGGGTCACAGAGTTTGTGAAAGACCCACCAGAGTTTCCCACGGCAGCTGGGACAACTCACCATGAACCGGGGGCTGAAAACCACACAGATGGGTTCTCTGACAGTCCTGGAGGTCAGGAGTCCGGCTCGGGTCTCACGGGGCTAAATGCAGGCGTGGGCAGGGCCGGTCCTTCCGGAGGCTCCAACGGAGCATCGGTTCCCACCTTTTCCAGCTTCTAGAGGCGCCGCATCCCTGGCTCACGGCCCCCCCTGCATCCTCACAGCCAGCAGCACAGCGTCTCCCGTCTCTCTCTGCCTCTGACCCTCCCGCCTCCCTCTTATAAGGACCCTGGGATGACGCTGGACGTCTCGGGGAATCCAGGGTCATCCCCGTCTCAGGAGCCTTAACTTAATCCCAGCTGCAAAGTCCCCTCTACCCTGTGAAGCGACACATCCGCAGGGCCCAGGAAGGACGTGGGTGTCTTTGGGGGCTCTTATTCTGCTGAGCACAGTGGGAGAGAGATCTTTTCTGTCTCTGCAACCCTAGAGAAAGTCTTGTTTATCTCTGGCTCTGGCTGGACCACTTGGGGACTGATTGCTGGGTCCTGAGGGTGTGATGATGTACTGACAGCCCCTCACATCTCTCAGAGCCCAGCAAGCATCAGGTCCCGAGCCACGATCTGAGACGCAGTTATTCCCAGACTCTTTGAGGACGTGGGTCCAATATCACTACACATCCTTCTAAGAGGGAGGCCAAGGAAATTGTGTGACACCAAAGCCACCCGCCGTGCTCCAGCCTGAAGAGGGAGGAGTGCAACCCTGAAAGGACCCACGGTCTCCTCTTGGGGCCTCGGGAGAGAGCGAGGCCCTGCTGACACCGTGATTTCTGCCCCCCAGATAATGAGGGTGTGTTGTATTAGCTACTGGATTTGTGGTGATTTGCCTCAGCGGAAGGAGGAAACCAGTGCAGATTAGAAATCTTAGAGGTTCCGTCTTTAGACGCTGGGTGACTGCAGTGCTGGCCAACACTGCATGTCCACCAGTGGGGGATGGTCAACCTTAGGGACCTGGCAAGACAAGACAAAACAACACAAAACTTTAAACCAGCCGAATGTCCAAAACGACGTGCTCGTTCTCTTGTCAAAGACCTCCTCGCATTTTAGCTTTCCTCTTCAAGCTGAGAAAAAACAAACTTCGTACCGCATCTCCTGAAGAAACAAAATGTAACTTTACCTACACTGAAATCATTATCTCACGATTTAATGGGTCGATAAAGAAGCGTGTATACTGCCTGTCACCCATGCGATCCATGGTCCGCTTTGTTGAGACGGAACAGACGGGAAAATCGATCCTTTTCCGGGTTTTACCAGCACTGACGCAGGTAAACTAGCCACCGCTGCAATCAACATACACAAGTTTCATCTCCGCCCAAAACCCTGGGGCTGCTCTGTATTCAGGCTGTTCTCCCACCTGGGCCCTGGCAGCCGCCCACTTGCTCTGTGTCCCTACAGGCTGGAGTTTCTAGGGCGCAGGTAAACGGGGCAGGTGTGCGGGCGGAGGAGACTGCGTGTGACCTTCTCACTCTCGGATTTGATGCTGGTTCACAGCTCAGGGTCGGGATTTGCCCTGTGACCCACTCCGGGATCACGCTGAGTTTGGCCCGTTTACATCTCCTGATAGGACCAGTATCGGGGCTTAGTTCTTCCTATTTATGTGACACTTTCAACTGGTGTTACTTCTTTTGTTTGTTTCTTAAATCTTTCAAAATACGACTCATGCTTTGTGTCAGAGGCTGGGTCCCCAGGAAACAGACTGCGAGACAGAGGCTGAGATAGGAAAATGAGTGGGGAGGGCCCTTGTGGTCACCACCGGCCAGGCGGTGAAGGATGCAAAGTCTGCGTACATCTCATGGGGAGCTCTGGAGCTTCACCCCTGTCCCCTGTTGACCACAGGTGCTGGGCCTGGACGCGGCAGCCTCCGCCACGGATAGGTGACATCTCTCTTCAGCCACCGATGTTCCCAGCAGCTGGGAAACTGCTTGTGTGTGTGTTTGGGGGGCGCATGGTGCCCACAGTACCCACTAGCCACCCCTGAACTGCTCAGCTCAGGGTGATGTGCCTGGACACGGTCCCTCCAGGATTTCTTTTTCTAGGGGGACAACTTGGAATAGAAAGATTAGTGGGTGAACCACAGCCCCACCGCTGCCCCGAGCTGCACGCCCCCACCACCCCTCACCTCCCCCAGCTCTCCCTCCGCTAGGCTAAGATGCTTAGCTGCTGGGGTGGCCCAGACCTCACCCCACGCGCCGTCGAAATGGCAGAGAAGTGCCAGGAGCAAGGGACGCAGGGACACTCTGCCCGGCCGCCCTCCTGGGTGGCGTGTCCTCCGCGCCTTCCCCTTGGCTCCTTGGTTCCTGCTGCCAGGAACGCCCCCTGCAGCCTCCCCTCTTCCTCTCTGACCTCTCCGCTGAACACACTGCTTTTTACTTTCTTAGTTTCATTTCTTGTACTCTTTATTTGCAAATCATTCAGGTGTACAGAATAATTGCAAGAATGAGTACAGTAAAAAAAAAAAACCCAGGGCTTCCCTGGTGGCACAGTGGTTAAGAGTCCGCCTGCTGATGCAGGGGACACGGGTTCGTGCCCCGGTCCGGGAAGATCCCACATACCGCGGAGCGGCTGGGCCCGTGAGCCATGGCCGCTGAGCCTGCGCGTCCGGAGCCTGTGCCCCGCAACGGGAGAGGCCACAGCAGTGAGAGGCCCACGTACCGCAAAAAAAAAAAAAAAAAAAAAAAAAAACAAACAAAAAAAAAAACCCAAACTGCATACCTTTCCCCAGATTCAGCTATTAACAGTTTGCCCCCCGTGCTTGCTCGTTTGCTGTCTCTCTCCGTCCGTGTTTTATAGACAGAAAATATACTTTTCTGAAGTACTTGAGAGTGAGCTGCATACAGAGTGGCACTTTACCCCGGCATCGTCCACTGGGGCGGCTCTAACAAAAAGGCCACGGACTGGGGTCTTATAAATAACAGAAATCTATTTCTCACAGTCCTGGAGACTGGAGTCCGAGATCGAGGTGCCAGCAGATTTGGGGTCTGGTGACGTTTGCTTCCTGGTTCTCGCTGTGTCCTCACAGGGCAGAAGGGGCGACGGAGGTCTCTGGGGTCTCTTCAACCAGGGCACTAATCCTATTCATGGGGGCTCCGCCCTCATGATCTAATCACCTCCTAAGGGCCCCACCTCCTAATACGATCACATTGGGGATTATGTTTCCACATACGAATTTTTAGGGTACACAGATATTTAGTCTATAGTAGCCCCTAAATACTTCAGTGTGAATTTTCCAAGAAGAACGTTCTTTTACATAACCAGAGAACAGCTACTGATTCCCATAAACTTAATATTGATGCAATGCATTTATTCCGCCTACGTCTGAATTTCAGTTTTGTCAATTGACCTAATAATTTCCCTCTGCCCAGGGACTTCCCTGCTGGTCCAGTGGGTAAGACTCCATGCTCCCAATGCAGGGGGGCCGGGTTTGATCCCTGGTCGGGGAACTAAGATCCTGCATGCATGCCGCAACTAAGAGTCCGCATGCTGCAACGAAGACCCAGTGCAGGCTAACTAAATAAATAAAATAAATATTAAAAAAAATTTCCCTCCGCCCTACTGGAGCCAGCCTAGCATCAGGCATTGTGTTTAGTTGTCACGTCTGGCGGATTTCCACACTGTTACGGCACTAATATTTCTGAAGAATACTGTCCTTTGCTCCCCCTGTTAATAGAATGTTCCTTATTTCGGGTTTGTGTGAAGCTCCTCAGGTATAGACACAGGTTATGCATTCCTGGGCATAAGTGATCCTTTCTCTGGGCACCCATCTGCCCCTCATTGTGGTGTTCATTTTTCCCACCTGGCTGAAATGTTGCCTCATTTATCCACTCTAATAATGGTCTGTGGGAAGAGACTTTCACTTTTTTATTTTTAAAATTTATTTTATTGAAGTATAGTTGATTTACAATGTTGTGTTTAATTTCTGCTGTACTGCAAAGTGATTTAGTTATACATACGTATACACTCTTTTCATATTCTGCTTCATTATGGTTTATCACAGGATATTGAATATAGTTTCCTGTGCTATACAGTAGGACCTTGTTGTTTTCCGTTCTATATATAATAGTTTGCATCTGTTAATCCCAGACTCCCAAACCGTCCCTCCCCACCCTCCTCCCCCTTGGCAACCACAAGTCTGTTCTCTATGTCTGTGAGTCTGTTTCTGTTTCGTAGAACATTTCGTATTCATTTTTTCGTATTGCATCATATTTTAGATTCCACATATAAGTGATACCATACGGTTATTTGTCTTCCTCTGTCTGGCTTACTTCACTTAGTGTGAAAATCTCTAGGTCCATCCTTGTTGCTGCAAATGGCATTATTTCATTCCTTTTTATGGCCGAGTAATATTCCATTATATATACACCACATCTTCTTTATCCATTCATCTGTCAATGGACATTTAGGTTGTTTCCATGTCTTAGCTATTGTGAATAGTGCTGCTACGAACATTTGGGTGCATGTATCTTTTTGAATTATAGTTTTGTTCAGATACACACCTAGGAGTGGGATTGCTGGATCATATGGCAACCCTATTTTTAGTTTTTTGAGGAACCTCCATACTGTTTTCCATAGTGGCTGTACCAATTTGCATTCCCACTGACAGTGTAAGAGGGTTCCCTTTTCTCCACACCCTCTCCAGCATTTGTAATTTGTACACGTTTTGATGATGGCCATTCTTACCGGTGTGAGGTGATACCTCATTGTAGCTTTGATTTGCATTTCTCTAATAATTAGTGATCGAGCATCTTTTCATGTGCCTGTTCACCGTCTGTATGTCTTCTTTGGAGAAATGTCTATTTAGGTCTTCTGCCCCTTTTTTGATTGGGTTGTCTGGTTTTTTTTTGTTGACTTGTATGAGCTATTTGTATATTTTGGATGTTAAGCCCTCGTCGGCTGCATCATTTGCAAATATTTTCTCCCAGTCTGTAGGTTGCCTTTTCATCTTGTTTATGGTTTCCTTTGCTTTCCAAATCTTGTAAGTTTGCTTAGGTCTCATTTATTTTTGCTTTTATTTCTGTTGCCTTGGGAGACTGACCTAAGAAAACATCGGTATGATTTATGTCAGAGAATGTATTGCCTCTGTTCTCTTTTAGGAGTTTTATGGTTTCATGTCTTATATTTAAGTCTTTGAGCCATGTTGAGTTTATTTTTGTGTATGGTGTGAGGGAGTGTTCTAACTTCATTGATTTACATGAGGCTGCCCAACTTTCCCAACACCACTTGCTGAAGAGACTTTTTTCCACTGTATATTCTTGCCTCTTTTGTCGAAGATTAATTGACAGTAGGTGTATGGGTGTATCTCTAGGCTCTGTATTCCGTTCCATTGATTCATGTCTGTTTTTGTGCCACTACCATGCTGTTTTGATGAGTGCGGCTTTGTCGTATGGGGAAGAGACTTACAGAGAGGGATGAACGCATCCCTCTCTTCATCCGAATCGCCCTGCTCCCCCGCATTTTGCGGCTATTTGATGATTCTTGTCAAAGCTCCCTCCAAAGAGTCTCCTCTGGTTGCCCCAGGATGACTCAAGCCCTTTCCCTCGGTTTCTGCCACGTGTGATGATGACACAGAGCCCTACTGTCACTGCATCTGTTGGTGCATCTCCCTGCCTCACTGGAACTCTGGCTGTCCAGCACCCAGTCGAGGGCGGCAGGGCACACTGATTGACTGACTGATTGAGCAAGGACCCTCTGTCACAAGGGCCTGAACTCTCAGTCTGGGTGATGTATGCCAAGGTGAGTGGGGGCCCACGACTCATGTAACGTGTGACTTGTGCAGAGAGCAGGGCAGGCCTTCTAACAGGTGTTCTCTCTCCTGGCTGGTAGGTTCTCGGAGCGCTGGCATAATGCTTTTACATCAAGCATCGAACACGGTGCGTCTCACCTCCTCAGCACCCCGCTGACACTGATATCAACAACAGCTTGGAAAGGACTGGGGCTCCTGAATTCCCCCTCCCCCATTGCACTCTTCCCGGTTTGTGCAAGCCAGAAACCTGGGGGCCTGCTCTCTGCTTCTGCTCCAGCCACACCCTAGTCCCTGCTCAGGCCTCCTCACTGGCCCCCATGTCCCCTCTGTCTACACCTTCTGCCTGCATGCCCCCAGCTCGTCTCTGTCTAAGACGCGAGACGTGGGGGAATCCTTGTCAGGACCACTTTGTTCACTCTCCCCCTCAGTGCCCAGCGCAGGCCCATCACATTTCATCCATTAGTTACAACCCATGACAACCACAGTTCCAGAGCCAGCGGCCGGGCAGGCCTTCACCTCCCCTGCCCACCCGGGGCACTCGGGTTCCAAGCCTCCAATGAGATCCGTCATCACTGGTGCAAACGTGCGGAAGGTTCTAGAACCTCGCTGCCCAGGCTTCAGTCCGGGCTCCGCCGCTCGCTCGTGCCCGGGTGGCCCGTCACTCCTGGGCTCCGTGTCTTTACCTGTAACACGGGGGCACTACAGATTGGAAGGAGGAACTGGGACCAGTGCTTAAGGCGTGCTTATCAGGAATTGGCATTTCCACCACGGCACCCCCACCTCCCAGACGAGGCCAAGGTCCGCGAGACCCCGCAACCCGCGCCCGCCCG